GGGCGCGGCTGCAGCCCCGGCCAGACCTCCCCTGGCGCCTGCGGGCGGTGGGAGACCAGCCCCAGGCGCACCCGCTGCGGGGACCCCGCTCCTCCTCCCTGCGAGGAGCTTCAGCACCAGAGGCGAGGACTTCCTCCATAGATTCTTACGCTTGATAAATACTCTCTGTGTGACAATTTATTGACTCAGTTTACATGGACCTAAAAGCAGTGCCTTTGTTAGTGGCCATTTTTATGTACGTGAATTACCTGTTCGTATTTGCTTCTTGGAATGTTTGTCTTTTTTGTTTGTGATTTGTAAGATCTTTCACTATACAATGATTACCAACTTTTATCAGTTATATGCGTTACAGGGTGGGTTTGAGGAAAATTAAGCTTATAGGCATGATTTAACATCATTATCCACAGTGGCAATATGTTACTTCTGCTTTTTAAAAATTATTTCAAATATGTACACGAGTTCTCTGGAAACTGAGTGATAAATGTTTCCTAAAATTTCCCCAGCACTGAAGTTTTCATTTGTTTTTAAAATGAATTCATGCCTTAGGACGTACAGTGTTTATTGTGAGACTCTGATGATGGTCTTCTTGACCAATAAAGACAGGAATGATTTCTCACCTGGACCACTTCCATCCTGGTGTGTATGTTTAGGAGGGCCTTGAGAATCCTTGTGATTTGATTTTCCTATTTCCATAACATTTTCATGATTTTTGTATTCTTTGCATTGCTATTAATAATGGTCAGTCATAGTGTGCCTAGGTTTAAAGAAAGAGATGATTGTATATGTATATCTATAGTCATGCCAGAGGATGTAATGTTTTAATATTAGGTTAATGTGAGGGATGAAACAACAGGTTTCTGAGGAAAGAGAGAAGGAATGAGATACCCTGATCTCATTTGGTTATATGGAATAATAATCATCATTTCAAACTGCCTTCATTAAACACATTGAATTGTTCAGTGTCTGAAAGTGGCTAAGTGATGCTGTGCCTTGTTTTGCAAGAAGTGGGTATATATATGTACACTGTACATTTGGAGGAATGAAAATTCAGTAAGTCCCTTTGTTACTGGGAAACCCCGGTGGGGCTCGAGGCTGCCTGTCTTTGTATCCAATTCAGTGGAGGCAGGGTTGAGTCATATAAGGTGTTATTGAGAAGGCCGCCAACCCGAAGACAGGGAGCATAAGAGCACCCAAAACCTGTCTTGTGGAGTGGCCTGAGGGATGGGGTTATATGGGGCAAACTGGCACTGGGAATGGAATGCAGCTACTGCAGCCCTGGAAGTCATTCTTTTGATCTTGGTGCCTGGGGATGTCTCCATAAGGTGATATCTTCACTCCTTGTTCACAGCTGCGCCACCTCCTTAATTGCTTCAGTCTGGGATCAAGGGGAGTGTAGGGTGCAAAGGCCTAGGAGAAGGAAGCTTAAGAAAAAAAACCTAAATCCTTGCTTACAGAAGTATGTGTGTCCTACAATTTTATAAGTAATATAATTATATTTCAGATTAATTCAGGTGCTCAATCTTTGGACATTATAAGTGCCCCTCTCCCTTCCCCCTCTGATTAGGTAAATTAGTTGATATCTATCAACCTTACACTATACTAAATCTTATTCTTAAATTTATTATTTTGCTGCAATGCTAAAATCTTTGCTTTTGCTGCACGCAATTACCTCTTCTAGGTCTTATGAACTGACATGCTCTAGAAAAGAGAGCAATAAGAAGTATTAGACAAATCATAATAAAGAACAAAAAATGAAGAAGGCTCCCTTTATGCCAGCCCAGCTGGGTAGCCAAGAAGTAAAAGCAACAAATTCCTTAGTAAAGAAGACTTCCCTTTGTTTAACATGGGAACGAGTATCTTGGACTCTCTGTAACTTACGCTGTATGAGTTCAGAGTTATCAGTTAGATTGAAACAGCACATACCCTTAAAATCCTCACACCCCGGGTTGTGTCTGAGTAATAAGTGATCAATGGCAGCTTGATTTTCTAGGATGGCTTCTCTTACTTCCCCTAGTTCCTGACCTATAGCTGCTATAGCTTGGCAGGTAGAATTCAGAGCTTTTACCATAGCACAAGCCAAATTAGTTACTTCAGCATTGGATAATCCTACCATCACTGGGGTGACAAATATAGCCATAGAGATATATTCAGC